AATGGTGAAGACATCAGCAAGACCGAAAATGAGATATTAAGGAACCAACCACCACACACTCATGGGAACTGTGGCATTTGGGTTGTCCACAAGCCTGTATTCTAATTTTGTTTTGAGCCTTTTCATCTCGACTAGAGCTGCAACCACCATTCAAATGGCAGACAGAAATAACAGGTTCCAATTCTTTGGAGCATGGTGATGCCAACGAGTTGACGAGTTAAAGCTCTTGCTGCAAGGACAAAAACACAATCATAGATAGGAATGAAGATGATGATGGAGATACTGATGAAGAATTGAAGTGAAGTAGTTGGAATTTCAAAGCCAGGGAAAACTGTTCTGTCCATGGTGGCCCCTTGCTTTGTGAAGAAAGTTAAGGCTTGTCCAAATGTTATGGCGTACCCTAGGCATGTTGTCCATATGGGAATGAGCCTTAACAATGCCTTGTCATCTTCAACATCTTGAATGCTGCATTGTTTCCTTACTGCCCCAGAATAATATGGTGCAAGCAATGCCTTGTCGAGGAACCTAGCAATGGGGAAAAAAAGGTAAATTCCATTACAATGCAAATATAATATGGTTATAAGAAAATAACTTTATGAAACTAATTATTACCAAAAAAAAAAAAATTCCGAAGCTGTCAAGTTTCAAAAATCAAACAAGAAATGTCATATAAGGTAAAAATTTACAAAACAGGAAAGTTCTTAATGTTGACGCACTGCCCAAGTGCTATTAATAAGACCAAAGAAACAATGCCAGAAACAAAACTCAATAAAAAGGGCTGTACAAGCATAAACAACAGAAAGACAAGTCCAAAGAAGCAATTATACGTCATCCAACAATTTGAGATAGATCAGTAAGAAATTACATCCAACCAACGAACTTCACTTTTTTAACCACCTCTTACTTTGCCACACTACTGCAAAGAAATTGGCTATTGCAAAAGGGCTGCACAAGCATAGACAATAAAAAGACAAGTCCAAAGAAGCAGTTGTACGCCATCCAACAATGTGAGATAGATCAGTGAGAAATCACATCCAAGAATCGAACTTCACTTTTCTAACCACCCCTTACTTTGCCAAGCTACTGCAAAGAAATTGGCTTCTCTTAAATGAGATCAACCTGCACCTTGGAGACTTAACAGCATCTCAATTTTGATTCAGCACACACCTTTACGACCTATGATCTTTGCTCACTTAAGAGACAGCAATGACACTTCTAAAGGCCACTTCTTTTTTTTCTTCTTCTTTTTTTTTTTTCTGGTTTTCTAAGCCTAGCTTTTGGTTCAATTAAAGGCAAATCATGGATGTTGGGACTCTATAATTCACAAGGAATTAGTTTTTACCTATAACGAGAGATACTGACCTGTAGCCACTGGAGCTGAATCGATGGATGGAGCGGCCTTTATAGTCAACACAGCCATCAACGGCATCATCTAGAAGTGGAGTTCCAGTGTTTAGTGAGTTAGTAATGGGCGATTGGTGATAGCCATTGAATGGAAGTATCTCTTCGCGTTTGTTTATTTGTAGTATTTATTTATTTTTGCTGCACCTGTTTTCTAGTTTAAATCATAAAATTAGGGTTAAATTGGGAGAGAGGAGAGTCTAATACAAAGAAAACTCTCAATTTATTTATTTAAATAGTTTGTTACAAGTTGAATTATAAAATATTTTTTTAAAATATTTTTTTTACTATACTACTTCTAATTATTTTCGAACATTTTTGCTTTTTCATTCAAGTGGTTTGTTTAATGACAAATTATTA